CTTCGCTATCTCCAGATGGTAGTAGACGGTGTTTAGGTTCGAATGAAGTCCCCTAATGTTACTCGCCCCTAATCGCTCTGTTTGCCCCGTGTAGTGTTAGTATTGAGCAAGATTAGGGGATCCCCCCCCCCCAGAGAACTCGGGGCGGTCTGAGCACTCATGCTCAAGAAGAGGAGAATATGTTGGGTGTGAACGCTCTGCGAGGGATTCTCCATGACCATAGGTGCTAGTACTCTTCTGAAGTAATCTTTTTAAATCCCGCTACCATGTTACGTGGGGGGGAGAGGTAGGGCTTTGGCTTTCGGCCCATACGTGCAACAGCCAAAGCTGCCGCATTGCTCTACGACTGTTAAAGTTAAATTTAAAGTTTTTTAAAATATTGAGTAATACATTTTTGAAACGCTACCTGCGAACTTATAAATGCAGCTTTGGCTATAAAACGTAATGTTTATATTACGAGTATAATAACTATGATTATCTTTCATAGTTATTATAATATATGTAAACAGCATACATTATATTGTTAGCTATTATTTCGAAATATAAATAACCCACCGGATTTCTTACTGGTTCTTCCAACGAGTTTTTCCAAACCAATTGCTAAAAAGTATAAACAATTAATCGTAAATATTTTTTACAATTTACTTTGAATAAAAAATATTCTATTCTATTCATATCTGCAGAAATTAATTATCGGAAAAATAAAAAAAGCTAAATTGATTTCTATTAAATTTATTCTAAATACACAAAATAAATAAAGGCATATTTACCTTGAACTTTTGAAACATGTGTATGTATTCATCAAAGCTACAGAAGATCGCATTATTTTGCAATCTATTGCCCAATATTGATGTGCGATTTACTATAGCTTGCTTTGCAATCGCTTCGATGACGTTTTTTAAAAGGTCAAGTGCGACTGTTTAACATAGACATATTCACGTAAATATCTGTGGTAAAATATCAACTGATCAAAAGTTTACAATAAATTAAAAAAATTAAATTCGCCTTTAATGCTATAAAACTGTATATTAAAATATATTGTGTTTTTATTTACGACAAATTTAAAATTATAAACTTTTTTTTGTCCCCCCGGGGGGGAATCAAAATGTAGTTAATCCTCTGTTTGTCCTTATAGAATAAGGGTGACAAACAAGTACACAGTCCAACTGATGGTAAGTGGATGCTGTGGCCTATAGACATCTACATTTATCCTCGATTAAGAAACGCAGATGCGTTGTCAATCCCTAAGAACAAATATCGAATGCCTCGTTTCTAGTAAAAAAGGTGTCCGGATCTCTACACTCACCATAAGAAACACAGCAAAATTAAACTGCTATTTTAACCTGGTATTCTGTAAGAGCGTGGTCCTTCCCCGGTCGAACAGACTCATTCGTGCTACAACCATAATATAGCTGCAGCGTGACTCTACCACGTATAAAATGTATAGAAAGCAAAAATGTGTAATAATCTTTTATGAAATAAGAATACAGTCCTGAATTTTGACACTTTATTCCTACACGGTTTGTAATAATACCAAAACTTTCCAAAAGTAATGCACTAGACATCGCTAACCACTAGGTGGTAGGCTGGTAGGACTTTTTTTTAGAAGTAGGTCTGGGTAGATACTGCCACCTGTCACCTATATCTGCCTCTAAGTGCGTGCAATGCTGTTGTTATAGTTTGAAGGGTATAACATGTTAATCCACAGAGGTAACAACTCATTTGTACCACTCTCCGCTTGTAGTTGGCTGCAAGTTCATGAAGCGCAGTACCCACTGGCTATTAGGTAGACCTTAAATTCGTTTCTTCACTATATTTTATTATTGAAACACTATTCTAGCACCGACTACAGATTTTTTTATAAGATATGGGTGACAAACGAGTACATAGTCCAACTGATGGTAAGTGGTTGCTGTGGCTCATAGACATCTACATCTACCCTCGATTACGAATCAAAATGCAGATACGTTTTCACCCCTGAGGACTAAGATGGAATGCCTCGTTTCCAGTAAAAGGGGCCTCCGGTTCTCTACCCTCACCATATGAAACACAGCAGCATCAAGCTACCATTTGACGCTGGTATTCTGTGAGAGCGTGGTCCTTCCGCGGTCGAGCCGACCCATTGGTGCTACAACTATACTACTATTATAACTGTAGTATTGCTCTACCAAGTAAAAAAATTCACTTCAGATCTGACTCAGACTTCAGACGTTAATTAATGATGTGGTATTGAGACCTTCCTCTTTTTTTGAAGTCGACTAAAAACTATGGCCTTAAGCCTTCAGCGCGAAAATTGCGCAATAAATTGCGTTCAGCGTGGCGTGTGGCGTAGCGGAGCGGCGCGTTAGGACATTATTATGGGAGCGTGTTTACACAATTACCTAACAATGTCAACCCAAAAGACTCAGCTATAATCATCATTACAACCCTTCACAAGTCCACTGCTGAAGCTCGGCATCCCCTAAGGAATACCTCAAAGTATGGTCACGGTCTTGAACCACCTGCATCCATCGACTTTCTTAATAACTTACCAGTTCATCACTCCATCTAGTGGGGGATCCTACACTTCACCTATTGGTAAGAGGCTGCCACTCGAGTCTTTTTTCCCCATCGATTTTCAGTTCTTAGAGCTACATGGCCTGCCCAATTTCAACTACGGATTACTAATCCCTTGGGCTATGTCGCTTACTCAGGTTCTACTACGGATATCCTTTCTAAGTTTATCACGCAAAGAAAGCCCGAGCACAGCCCTCTCCATAGCTTGCTGAGCAACTTCTTTGACTCAGCTATCGTATTCGTTTAATGCTTTACCCACGCTCGGATACGGCAGCTTAGTAGAGTGGCGGCTAAGCGTTTGGACTAAGATGGAATGCTTCGTTTCCAGTAAAAAAGGGTCTCCGGTTCTCTAAACTCACCATACGAAGCACAGCAGTATTAAGCTGCTATTTTACGCTGGTATTCTGTAAGAGCGTGGTCCTTCCCCGGTCGAGCTGACCCATACGTGCTACGACCGTAATATAGGTGCAGCGTGACTCTACCACGTATGATTGTTTATATGACCTACAAATAATTGTTCCGAGTGTGGACGTGGCTTCGTGTGCAATTTATGTATGTAAAACACCTCCACGGTTTTATCAAATCCTAGTGTAATATCTTTTTACATTGCTTTGTGGATTTTCAATTCAGTCCTCACTTTGAACTACATATAACATTTATAGTCACCTTATCCACGACTAACCTCAAAAAAGGTCACATCGTCACGAAAAAACATATTTCACGGTCATTCGCAGAAATCACGTAGTAATCGTAATCTAACGCTATTTACATTAATCGTTTGGAAACATCTTCTTATATTCGCTAAGTATTAAACTGTTGATATTTTTCTACATTTACAAAAAGTAAATATTTTTAATAAAAATCTATTGTAATTGGTGTTGCGTTAGCGAAGTGACTAAGCATTTGGTTGCTGCGTTACACGGTTACAGGTTCGAACCCGCCCGAATCAAGTGTTGTATAGCCTAAAAAAATAACAATAATAGTTCTGAGTCTTGATGTTTGTCCATCCGTTATACGTGGTAGAGACACGCTGCAGCTATATTATGGTTGTAGCACGAATGGGTCGATTCGGGCGGGGTAGGACCAGGCTCTCACTTCTGTGAGGGCGTGGTCCTACCCCGCTCGAAGTATCGAGAACGCCAGCGTAAAATAGCAGCTTAATATTGCTTTGTTTCATACTGTGAGTGTAGTGAACCGGAAACACGTTTTAGTGGAATCGAGGCATTCTATCTTAGTCCTCAGAGGTGACAACGCATCTGGATTTTGGTTTTTAATAGAGGTTAAATGTAGATGTCTATGGACCTCAGCATCCACTTACCATCAGGTCGACTGTGTGCTGGTTTGTCACCCTTATTCTATTAAAAAAACATACAATAATTATTCTCTGCTCGTTCGTTTTTTTATTTGTACAATAAAATTAAAAGGACGGACAGTACGCGGCGAAGTCTGAGAATATTATCATATTGAGTTAAGAACTTATCGCTCACTACCTACAAAAAGAAAAAGTGTTCAGTATAAATTCCGCTCGCCTCCTCCGCACTCCGCGAAACATGGACATCTCGGGCAAGCTTTGAATTTAATAAACCCAGAAAATATAATTTGATTTGGAATTTTCAATTGATTTTCACCAATAAACAGCAGACTGACTGATGTAAAAGGAACGCCTAAGTTCTTAAGTTACACGCTTGAGAATAATTTATGCAAATGAGCTAATGTTATAATGATATTTGTCAATTAAGTGAGGAAAAATCCGTGCTTCCTGTGAGCTTCCATGGCGTGTACTGCGAAAATCGATAAAGATAAATAAAACTAATTTCAGAGGATCGTGAATCTGTTAATTTTAATACAAAAAGCGATAACGTTTTCCTATTTTCATAATTTTTGAAAATATTGTAGATAGAATGAGAAACTAGGTTCATACGTATTTATTTTATGGAAATATTGCATAAGATATAAGGTATTTGCATCTAAATATCTATGTTTTTTGTCTTAAAAAGTTCTTCGAGTGTTTTTCTTTAATTAAACTAAATCTCGCGAGTTTACTATCGCTCTCTGATAGCAAACTCGTGAGTTTAAACCAACACACAATTATTACAGTAGTTTGTTAGAAAACACTTATTACAATAATTTGGGGTACGTGTCAAAAATATTTTGAATGCGTGGCACGCTGGTACATAAACTTACTACTATCTAATACCACCTATTATACTAATTTGTTGGTATTCCTTTTGTACCAATTGCCATTTTACAATTTATTATAAAATAATAACTTAGGGTTTTTAGAATTAGTTCTAAAATATAAAGTAAATCTAAATAAAGATACGATTTAAGTATTCGTTTGTTTACAGCCGCAGCGCAACGGAGGTCAAACAAACAGCCGTCACGTACTAAAGACGCATTGAAATCTAAAACATATATACATATAAAAACATAGACACAAAAAGATGCAGTGGTCTTGGAAACAGAACGCATCTTGCTTTATCGGAGCGCTCAGGGAAGGAAATGAACAACCGGAGCTATTTGCAAGGTCTTGGCAAGGAAGACTGTCGGCGCTGTACTGGCGAGTGCCGATATTTTTATGGGCCTTCACGATAATATCCTGGTCTGCGGTATCATTTTGGGGCACCATTGACAAGTACCTGTTATATATGACACATTGGGGACTGATTCTAATTCTACTGGAGTCTTTCTTCGGTATAGTTGTAGCTACGCAGAAATTCAGTCATTTTCCAGGTAATAATTGAGAAGTTCAATTAAAAAGTATGTTAAGAACGGTTAACGATAGTAAATTCCAATTTATGCAGTAATCAAAAAAATGCTTAATTATTAACAAAAATAAACTAGTAAGCGAAGTGCAGGGTGGCACCCCATACGAGGTGCATAAAGTCAATCAATGCAGGTGGCTCAGGATCAGGACCGTAGATTGTAACTTTCCTTTGGTAACACATATGTTGACCTAGGTTTACCCAATTTTAATGGTTTCTTATATTTACGAGAACAATTACCTTATGTTTGTGTATTTTAGAAACTTGTGATGACTATAAAAATTAATTTGAATTTAAAATATTAAATGTTTTTATAGAATAAAGGTAGCAAACGAGCACACAGTCCACTTGGTGGTAAGTGGATGTTGCGGACCATAGAGATCTACATTTATCTTCGATTAAGAATCAAAATGCAGATGCGTTGTCACCCCTGAGCACTAAGATTGAATGCCTCGTTCCATTATAAAGTATCTCAGGTTCTCTACACTCGCCATATAAAATACGCATTACGCTGCTATTTACGCTGGTATTCTGTGAGAGCGTGGGCCTGGTCCCCGGTCGAGCCGACCCATTCGTACTACAACCATAATATATGTAGCTGCAGCGTGGATTTTACAAAACTGCCAAATATGAATATATAATCAAAAAAATTCTTTAAAAAATTAAGAAAAAATTCAATGAATTGAATACAACGTCGTAATACACACGTCATACGACACGAAAAATCAAACAAAATAAAATCGACAAAATCGAAGAAATTATTTCTGTACGTATATCCACTTCCTACACAGATTGCATAATGAAATGTCTTTAACCTGAACATAATATTACCCGAAAAGCATTTACATCTTACGAATAACACAAATGGAACATTAATGAGTGGATATTCAAATTCTTTCTATTCATTTCAACGCTAAATGAATAAAGATTAGTTGGGACTGAACGGCTGTAAATATTAAATGTTTCGTTATACACAAATATGTCCCGCCATCTTGTTCTGTGTTGCAATTCTTTAGGACCCTCTAAATATTCAGAGGAAAACAATTCAACCGTTCAACGACATATTATGCAAAGGTTTGCATGTTGTTCGTACGTTTAAGATCTTAGATTAGTTCATTTTGAACTAGTTTAACGCTTAATACGCGTGATGGGATTATGAGATTATTATGTCCCTTGGGTTGACTTGGTATTGGGGGATATTTAAAATTTAATATAATGACGAAGTAGTATTTTTTTAGTGCTTAATCCACTATACTGACATGGATTTCGATTTTTAGTTCTTTACATGCATAACAACCGTATTTATATGAACAATAAATCTGGATTAAAGCAAAATATTTTAGTGTATAAAACATACTGCTATTTATTAGAAAACACGAGTCATTCCGTCAGTCTGTTGCAAAAAAAAAAAAGCTTTACTGCCCTTATTTATTGAATAACTCTTTTCTTCTTTATCTGTTACTGTACTGTTACAGCCTATTAAAGTCCACTGCTGAACAAAGGCCTCCACCATAGTTTGCCTGAGAGTGGGGACATTTGCCTTAGTTGCCACGCTTGGCAAGCAAGCTGGCAACCGCATTTTTTTTTATTTTTAGTCGTTATTTGGTAGACGTCTTCTTTATCAGCTCATAACAATTCACGACTAGACATGGACCTCTCTATGATAGACAGGACTTTCCATAATCACTACGCTAGGTAGGCATGTTGGCCATCGTAGTGCCTGATGGCTGGGAATAATTTACAAGAAACTCTAAAATCACAGGAATTAAGAAACGCCCTGAAAAACAAAGCGTTAAGTTTTATAAATATTATGACCATGAATTATGACAATCTAGTTAAGAATTAACTCATGTTCTGGTTAAAAAAGGGTGGAGAATTAAAATAAACTTGCATTTATAATAATAATGATATATATACCAGTATTTTTTATATATGATTTCATAATAATCAGTTCCCCGGACATCTAACGAATACTTGTTGTTTGTAGTCAAGAAAACGTGTCTTGAGCAATGTGTACTTAAATAATGGCTTATCTTTGGCCCTGTAGCTGATGTCGTTTAATTATTACTATGTGGTAATGACCTCATCGCAACACATTTAGGCACCTATTCACTAAATATTGCACCATCACCATTATACAATATCATGCTTTGTACTGGGTACACACACAATTTTTTACATCTCAATCAGGGTTGCCACCTTTTGTTTTGTGAGTAAATAAAGTATACCTTTCTAAGCTAAAAATTAAGTACGACAAGTGAAAACAAAGTATTATTTATTTGACATGCTTTTTTATACACGCAATATATATATATATATATATATATATATATATATATATATATATATATATATATATATATTAGTGTGTCCGGTCACGGACTAGCAATATTCTAGGTACTTATAATACAGCTATTTTAATACAAAAATACACTACACACTTAGGTCTAATTACCTGCCTTTCTATGTGGCGGCCATTTTAATTTTTTCTTGAGATATTCTCTACGTGTTTACAAAAATATTCATATCTCTCAAAGTTTTGGTCTTATTGAGATAAAAATTAGCTCATTCCAAGGAAAACAATATATAGACAATATTGTTTTTATTTTTTTGTTATCGTTTCCGTTACCAAAAAAATATTCACATACTCGTAACTTTAAAGAAAAAAATTTTACTTCAAATAAATATCAAAAAATTATGCTGATCGGTGAATTATCGTAAATTACTGCAAAAACAACCCCGTTTACCCTTTTTATTTTTTTACTATATCTAGAGATTTTGAGTTAAGCTACAATAAAACATAAAGTTTATAGCTGTGTGTTTATTATTTTAAGAATGATTGTTGTTTGAACATAGTGTATGCGCAAACACAAAAGACCTTTGTTTAGTGACAACTGGCACTGCTTAAGTTAGTTATTATAGTTTATATTTAACTACTACTATTATGTAGATGTTAGTGCTGTTAGTCTATGCGACTCTTACAGCTTCATCTGTCTCAGGGCTCGCGGCCTGCAAGCTAATTACAGAAGGGAAAGGCAATGAGGTGAGGATGATGATGAAATGGGTTATGGTTTGATATTGTTACCAATCATCATGTCGCCTTTTTAGGCGTTTTTTTTTTTTGAGCTATCTAACCGCAGTCCGAGGGGGGGAGTGCGGAACGATTAAAATATAAATTTTAATCTCGCCGGGGCCTACATTAAAATTTATATTTAGTTGTTCAGCTTCAGCAATAATACACTTCAGCTTACTAACCTGTTGGGCTATGTCGGTCACTCTAGTTCTACTGCAGATATCCTCATTTCTAAGTTTATCACGCAGAGAAACCCCGAGCCATAGCCCTCTCCATAACTCGCTAAGTAACTTTGAGCGTCCTCATACGTCCGACTAGGTAAGTCCAACTTCGACCGAGAGGTCAATCGACGGATTCAACTCGGCTGGGCAGCGTTCGGTAAATTACGACACATTTTCTCGTCTGCTATACCTCAAAACCTGAAAATGAGACTGTACGACCACTGCGTATTGCCAGTGATGACCTATGGAATTGAGACGTGGTCCTTCACCGCTGGCCGTATGAGGACGCTCATTACTTGTAATGATATTAAAACTTTAAAAGTCCAGGATTCCTTTTGAGTGGAAGTTCGTCTTGGTATGTACCTACTACCCACAAATTTCGGCCGCAAATAGTAGCGCGTGCATTATTGTTTTCCGGTCTGAAGCGTAACTTGTTTTCAGGCGATTCGAAAAAATTTTACTTTAATTAAAAAAGGGAGTAAGGAGATTGTCAAAGACCCCGCGCTTTATCGATGCTCGTGCCAGTAGAAGTAATAAAAATTAATATTAATCAATTTTTTTTAATATTCGAGATTTTTGAAAAAAATATAGACGTTTGTATATTATATTAATAATTGGTTATTGCAGCCCATGGACAAGAAATACTTTACTTTATTCGACTGTCTATAAAAATCTATAATCTATAAAATATGTTTATTATATTTATTTTTTAAATGTACAATATTCAATATATCGGAAGAATAAAAGAAATAAATCATACAATTATCGTATAAAAAAGAAAAAAATCGTTCGATTATCGTATGAATGGGCACTTCCTTTTAAAAACTAATTTTCCACCTAACTAATTGAATCGATTAGTTTAAACAATCAATATGCAAATATTGTAATCGGCAAAATTATGAAGATATATTTACATAAATATAGCTAACCTTCAGTGAAATCAAAATGCTTCATATACTTACATAAACATAGAGAGCTCCCTGGACATCCACAATTCGAGTGGCCCTGACGGTATCCCCCCAATTGTGCTAAGGACGCGTGCTCCAGTGTTGGCACCGGTCTTAACGCGTCTTTTCCGGTACTCCTATTCCCTAGGCGTAGTCCCATAATCATGGAAGACGGCTTTTGTCCACCCGATCCCTAAAAAAGGCGACCGCTCAGCCCCGTCCAACTACAGGCCTATTGCCATCACCTCCTTGTTCTTCAAAACAATGGAGTTCAATGTAAACTGCCAGCTCATTAGGTACCTTGAGTATCACCAGCTGATTAGTGATCGCCAATACGGTTTTCGTGTGTATCGTGGTCGATCAGCTGGTGATCTTCTTGTCTACTTGACTCATAGATGGGCGGTGGCAGTAGAGTCCAAGGGGCAGGCATTGGCCGTTAGTTTGGACATTGCGAAGGCCTTCGATCGGGTTTGGCACAAAACGCTTCTTTCGAAGCACCCTTCCTATGGGCTTCCCGAGAAATTGTGCAATTGGATCACAAGCTTTCTTGCAGATCGGAGCATCAAGATCGTTTTAGACGGTGCTAGCTCCGATTACAAGTGTTCCACAAGGCTGCGTGCTGTCACCAACTCTTTTTCTTCTGCACATAAATGATATGTTGCAAACCAGCAACATTCATTGCTATACAGATGACAGCACTGGTGATGCTCTGTACACCGGCCGTGCC